GGTACAAATCTCTGTGTATTTTCTGTTGATTCTTACTTACCCTAAAACTAGGGTTTTCATATCTCTTTACATCGAACCAAAATGGTTCGATTCTCTTATTTTAACTGTTATTATGTCCATAGTCGTCATATCTTACTATTTTTGTGTATATTCTGGTAATTGGTTTAGAGAGCATTCCGCCAGTATTTGGCAGCTTTCACTTTCAACCCGATTCACCGCCTACGTGCCCTTTACGCCCAGTCATTCCGAAGAACACTTCCCCCCCCCCCCCCCCGTCTTACCGCGGCTGCTGGCACGGAGTTAGCCGGGGCTTCTTCCTCGAGTCGAAGAGCTGAGGACTGATCTACGACCACCCTCTCACTCACGGCACACATGCTATATGTGTGATGCCGACACCCTGATCTAGACATCCACTTATTTGTTTTTCCTAAAAAACTAGGGTTTGCTTGACTTCTCCTAAATTGATTCTGAATCAATTTCGCATGCTATTCTTTCCTTTTTTTAAGATTGATTGGTTGTTTTTTCTTGTTTGTGTGTTTAACTTTGCTACTATAAAAACCCACTCCCCTTCCCCTTTCTGGAAGGACTTCAATCACTATTTTTCACAAAAAATTAAGGTTTCTATTTTGTATTTGCTTACTACTCTATTCTGTTTGGCTCTTGGCTGGCTGAAAGACAAGACCACCTGATTTCTACTTTTCTCGACCTCTCTTGGGTGTGAGCACTGCCCTGGGTTCTTGAAACCCTTAGAACTTGACACATTCGAGACTCTGGATCCTTACTGTAGTTCTTTTCTTATTTATTGAACAATCACTGGTTAGTTTCTAACTTTCGCAATGTTTATTACGTTCTAATTAGCATGTTCTCTGAATTGCATGATCTAATATGTTCTCCTGACTCTTTTCCTGTTTAATTCTGCTTATAATTGCTAGCTTAATGATGTCTTTGCACCTAACTTAGTTAATTTAGACAGAATAAAGCATGCTTAGTTAGTGTTGTTTTGATTACATGGTTTAATCCATGTTCCTCTACCTAACTATGAACTTCCAGTGATTAATTGATGTTATTGACCTGCCCCAGCTTGTTTAAGACCTTTGCTCTAAATGTTGTATGCTCCTATGACTATTGTTGCCACTCTATGCGTCCTTTCCATGACCTATCTGTACCTCTAATAACTTGTGATCTTTTTGAAACTAATCTTCTTTGACTAATGCCCTCTATGATACCTGATCCTGTTTGTATTATACTGTTTAATCCTGAGTTTGGTATAATATGATCCTTTAAGTTCTAAATTGGTTGCATTACTTGGTTTTATTAGCCTAATGCCCTTGGCTATTAACTTTGCAATCCTAGATTCTTTGTCTCTCGGCATATGTTACCCTGCCCAATATGTTAGTTCATGTTCATTGTGTGATTATCTTATAAGTTTGCAAATGCTTTTCCAAACCTATTACTTTACTATTATTTTCACTGGTTATCTCCTGTCATGAGTTTAATTCTGGGCTGGCTGAAAGCCAAAGCCCTCCCCCCTAAGTTTCCTCTATCAACCTCCCTAGTGTGAGCCTTTGGAAACTCTGACGCACTAGGGTCCAAGGTTCTTTTCCACTTTTCCTAATTGCTCAACTTTGCACCCTTTGATCACCTACTGGATAAACCAGTTGGTTTGTGTAAATGGCTGTTGATTAGCTCTGGCTACTGGGTTTTGGCCATGAAGATTGTTTCTGGGCTATGTTGAAGCATGTTGGATATGATATTGAAGGCCTGGCCAGGATGGGTATACTTTGAGCCCGCCTTAGGCCCACTATAGCTATTTTGATTCTGTAATTTATTTCACTCATTGGGTCTGTAATAATGTTGTAATAACAATTGGGTGTTAGTAAAATTGGGAAAATGGGTTTATTCTAATTGTTTGCATGAACGGGTACAAATCCTGCCTATAGGTGTATAATTTGCTCGAACATGTTCTGCTACTATGTGTGTTAGATAACCTTCCTATAGGAATTGAGTGTTTAATTCGTTTAACATATTCTGTTTCTACATGTTTGTTAGATATCATGTCTATAGGAAATAAAATGACCAATGTTTCAATTTGCATTATAGCATGTTCGTTAGATACTATGACCATAGGGTTATGTTAGTTTATGTTCTGCAAATCTGCATTTTAGGAATCATGCCTATAGGGTTTTAACTGGTTAATGTGATGTTGTTATAATTATTCACTTAGGAGACATGCCTATAGGAGCTAAAACCAATTCAATCGCTAATTGCAGAAATCCTGCCTATAGGGTAATCCTACTCGCTTTTTAAGTGCTAATATTAAACTTTCAACACCGTTTCGTTGCCACTATTAGAAAGCATGCCTATAGGATCAAACTAAGTAATTCTGAATGTCTTACATGGCTATCACTACTAATTACTGCGTAAATCACCTAGATAGCATGTCTATAGGTTTTTAATCGCTTATAACCTGCAATCAGTAGGCAATTGTATAGTCGCTCAGAAGTTATATCTAAAATGGCACCTTGCATATGAAACTGCCTGCATGTTTGAATTCCTAGGTCACATAGAAACCATGTCTATAGGGCTTAATGACTTTAACGCGTTTCAATTTTGTACTGTTAAACGCCTAATTTGTTTGCATGCGTTTGTTGTCTAAGTGTGGAGGCTAACTTGAGCCCTTAATTGCTTTTACATGAAGTCCAACTCGTTTTGTATGTCGCCTAGTTTTCTAATTTTGAGCAACCTAAGTTAAGTTTAGAGCCACCCAAAATAGAGGTCCAAACGCCTCCTGGACCATAGGCATGGGACGGGTAGTGCACGCATAAGGTACGACTTAGAATCAATTAGTGCGCCTTAGGTAACAACTTAAAGATAGTAATCGGGTAGCAGGAGATGATAGTCTGTGCCCGCTGAATAATACGAGTAACACCCCATCTCGAGGGAGTTATGAAGTATTATTTATATTGCACGGGGTGATCCTTTAGGCTAAAAAAACTTAGGACACCCTCTCCCATCTTGTCTTAAAATCAATTATTTATGTTTATTCAAGGACTTTTGATAATAACTTCCCAAACTTCTTGCTTTTCTCTATCCTTGTTTATCTGACTAATTCATATAATTCGTGTTCGGCCGGGACCAACAGTTGTGGACCCCGAAGAGTGCCTAACACCTTCTCTTCGAGGTAATTTGAGCCCTTACCCGATATTTGGTGACGCAAACTGATTAAACCAGAGTTATTTGCAAATAGGTGCCCTAACGCACCTCAAACCCGTTAGGTGGTGACTCTCTCTTTTAACACCTTCCTTAAAAGAGTTGTCACGTGTCGAAACCTGATTTCGCGAGAAAAAAGGGGTGCGACAATGCCTTAAGTCCTGATACATCTTAGTGGCACCCGGATAAATGGAGTACCGCGAACTGTGGGCCTCTTGAAGAATCAACTCATGCAAACCATCTACATTGGGCACACATAGCCTGCCCTACATTCGTAACACACTGTCATCCCCAATAGTGACCTCCTTGGCATCGCCGTGCTGAACCCTGTCCTTGAAGACAAGCAAATGGGGGTCTTCACGCTGACGCTCTCTAATATGATCATAAAGAGAAGACCGAGAAATCACACAAGCCAAAACTCGACTCCAAAACATCCAATATAAAAAAACAGGTTGGCCAAGGCCTGAACATCCAATGCTAATTGCCTCTCCGTTGCTGGTAGATATGCTAAAATGCCCAAGCTCTCCCCCTATCGAACCAAGGCACCGGCCACCACTTTAGCCTTTCCGGGATGATATAGAATGGTGATATCATAGTCCTTGAGCAACTCTAACCATCTCCGCTTACGCAAGTTAAGATCCTTCTGTTTGAACAGATGTTGTAGACTCCGGTTGTCACACCTCCTTTTTCCCGAGGGGATAGAGAGTTTTTTCTAATTAAAGTGACGCTATCGAAATGAGATTATTTAATTAATCAGAGTCACCACTTAGGTTAGTTTATGGTGTCCCAAGTCACCGGTTTATTTTAAATCCCAAATCGAGGAAATTTGACTCTGTTTAAAAGTCTGTGCAAACCGGAAGAACGGGTAAGGAATTCAGTTAACCCGGGAGAAGTGTGAGCCACTCCCGAGTTTCGTGATTTTAGAATGGTCGCTCAACTATTAATAATTGGCCTACTTATATGATTTAATTATACATTTAAACCTATTTGCATTTTTATTCCTCTTACCGCTTTTATTATATTTATTGCGTTTTAAGCTTTTATGGAATTAAACTGAGACGAGCCACATTGTCGTACACTCATTGTCTACACATATCGCAAATCGCGCCACGTGAAATGCACCCTCAATCTACAACGTGTTTAATTTCATTATTGTTTGAAGTTGTGGTCGAGTCACGTGAAACGCACACTCGAATTGGGGATTACGTATCATGACTATGCCATGGGAACCGTACCCATAGTCACGATGATTATTATTAATCGCGCCTAAAGCAACTAGGATGTTTGTGATTCTATTATCCTAAAATTTGGGATTTGCGCGTGAAATCTAGAGCTTATGGATTTAGACGGCATGAATGCAAAATGCCTTTGTTGCTTATTAAATTGTTCTACTAGTTAAACAACTATCGCATATCCTAAACTGGAGGGCCAAGAAATGGAGAGATTAATTAATTAAGAATTTGACTTAGGATCAGCTGACGTGAGACTACTGATTTTAGGAGCTGACAAATGCTTCTGATAGATTCATTTAATTGCTAAGATGGCTAATAGTTGGTTTCACAATATCGTGTACACATGAAGAAAATACTCACGTTCAAACCTAAACCAGATCTGTTGCAAACATTTCTGGGCCTGCAATTGAGTCGAAACGATATAGTGTGGGAACCATTAGGTCCCAAATTGGGCATACAGCCATGTTAGGCCAAATAATTGGTCCAACGACCTTTGAAAGCAACAACACAGTAATCCCAAACTAATGACTTTTGTGCACAATTGGAAAGAAAGAAAGATAATTAAACCAAATCTAAGCATGAATTCATTTTATCCAAATTCAAGGTCATATCATCCACTTATGAACACATAAACAACAACTATTTTTTATCATCTATACAACTTGAACCCAGAAAAGGATAACGGCATTAGTTCTACTTATAAATAAACGAATTTCCTTAAAATTTCCAAATCTGCATATAACAGCTTAGCCATATCCTGTGATCAGCCCTGAAGCTCCACTTCTCGTACATGCTTCTCAACTAAATTCCATCTTTCAAACTCATACCACAAAATAAAATGAGTGTCGATTCAATCACACTTTAGACAGGAACAAAAGATAGCCTGTCTGATTGATGACTCCAAAAACACACTAGGAAAACATTACAATGTTCAAGCAAATTTGTAGGGCTTGAAGCAAATTTAAAACAAAGGCAGATTCACCTAGTTAAATGTAATGTCTACATTATGCAAGCCAGAAGTAGTACCTGATTATGGCAAGATCAACAAAATAGAAAATAAGTCTTTGAAGTTAAAGTGAAACAATAGCAATATCAGAGTAATAATAGCAGAAACAGCAAGCTGACGCTAAATCCAACTCCAAAATAACACCAGAAAAATAAAAATAATCAAATAACAGGAAGGGAAACCAACTGAGGATAATCTCCAGAAAACCAGTGAATATCAAGAGTCTACATCTAATCTGCCCAGTGTAAAATCAATGTGTGTGATTTTTGTGTGTGAATATTGCAGAAAATCACCTCTGTGTGTGAGGAGTATATGCTCCCTTATATGAGTGTTGGTGTGCAAGATATATGTAATGAAAGAGAATAAGGGAATCTGCCAGCATCCCCTTAAAATTAGGAGATTGGCATCTTTTAAAACAGAAATGGACAGCTGTCTAGTTTTTCAACATCTTTTATTAATAGTTTTTGACAGCTTCCCTTTCTAGAAGCTTCTTTCATTTTTCAGATATATTATTTTCTAAAAACACTTCAAAAACCCTCCTAGATTCCTTTATTTCAGTTAACTCCAATAAGATCCTAATAATTTACAAAATAGGACAAATAAAACGGGGCAAAGACCAAAATAGAGCAAAGATCAAAAGAGGAAAACGATTATGCAATTTAACCTAGTGGATGATTCTAACAAACCAAGTATTTCAGCATTTAAAATCTAAATCGACCACAACCCTGAATAAAACTAAGCATGAATCAGATTGAAATGAGGTGGGAACAATGGTTAATGCATCATTAAACAGGCAATTCAAATGATAATTCCAACAAAACCAACTAAGTGTAATTGAAGCTAATGCTAAAACATGCTGTAATTAACCTAAAACTAAACTATATCATGTAAAAATAAGAAAACACCAATCTATCGATAGATCATACAATTAAGCCAAATGACCAAGAAAGAACGGAAGTGAGTATTACCCATTGACGATATCACTGCTGGTTCCAAACAATCCGAGCAGCGGTCGATATCGTCACACGAGCACTAATTCATGCTCGAAAGGTAGAGACATTGGCTGCCTGTAACGATAACGACCATAGCTTGGCCGGAGAATTGAATACAAAACGATACCTCAAAGCTATGGAATCTACTGCCTGAGCCAAAGCGGTTGCGAATAGAGTGGAGAGGTTCTATGGCCAATCAAGCGGAGGTGACCATCAACAGCATGAAACCAATCATCATTCAACTCTGAAGGTAGTCGATTGGGGCAGGTAATAACGAAAGATAAGCCCGAATTTAGAATCGAAAAAGAAAAGCGAACTAGGTTTTCTTGACTTCTTAGAACCGAAATTCAGGGAGTTTGGGTGATTATTTGGGAAAATCGGTAAGGGATTTGGGATTAGGGAAGTGTGGTGGTCATAGGGTGAAGATTTGGGGTTATTTGGAACGGTGCTGCCGCCGTGGGCAATTTCTGGCAACGGTCTAAGGCTGAGGGTGAGAGAGGGAGATGAAATGGGTCTGGGATAGGTTTCTAGGGTTTGGGGGGGTCTTAGGACCATTAAAAGGGAGAAGGGAATTCAGTTCCCAGCCGTTAGATCATAATTGATCAACAACTGGGATCATTTGGTAGGGAAAACGGGGTCGTTTGGGTGTGGGGGGAACCGGATCGGGTCCAGGATATGGAGATTGGGCTGGGGTTGGTTTGGGAGAATTAGGGAACTTGGGCTTGGACAATTGTTTGGCCCAAATCCAGAAAGATCATCTTCTTTCCCTTTCTTTTTTTTTTCTTTTTCCTTTATTTTAAAATCCTATAAAATTAATTAAAAATCTAAATCAAATCTAATCTGTAGAATTAAATTAATTATCTATTTCTAACATTAGAATAATTAATTAACTTAAAACTCAAGGAAAATACTAATTTTAAAACTATAAGCTAAATATTGAAAATGACCATTTTTGTGATTTTTGTTTGATAATGAAATTGATGAACGACTTAAATCCTAAAAATGCAAATAAAAACCTAAAATGCAATGCATGAAAATTTTTGACATTTTTATAGTATTTTTTTGTGAGTTAAATATATTAAATGTGCAACGAAACGCAAACAACAATTGACAAGGAATTCCTAAAAAATCTATAAAGCCAACATAATTAGAAAAATCTATTCTTTTGAATTTTGTAGGAGTATTATTAAGTCGGGCAAAAATCACGTGCTCACACCGATGGTCGGTATAGACCTCACAAGGGACACCGTACAAATAGTGCCGCCAAATCTTCAAGGCATGAACACTAGATTCTAATTCAACGTCGTGGACGAGACAGTTCTTCTCATGCACCTTCAGCTATCTAGACGCGTAGGCAATCACCCTACCGTCTTGCATCAACACCGCGCCAAGGCCAACACGCGATGCATTATAGTACATAGTGTAAGACCCCGAACCCGTAGGCAACACCAACACTGGGGCTGTAGTCAAAGCAGTCTTGAGCTTTTGAAAACTCTCCTCACAGTCCTCGGTCCACCTGAACGGAGCACCCTTCTGGGTCAATCTGGTCATATGAGCAGCAATAGATGAGAAACCCTATACGAAACGGCGATAATACCCTGCCAAACCAAGAAAACTCCGGATCTCAGTGGCTGAAGACGGTCTGGGCCAACTCTGCACTACTTCAATCTTCTTCTGATATACCTTGATCCCCTCACTCAATACGACATGACCCAAAAACACCACCGAATCAAGCAGAATTCACACTTTAAAAATATTGCATATAACTTCTTTTCTCTCAAGGTTTGGAGCACGATCCTCAGGTGCTGCTCATGATCCTCCTGGCTCCCGGAGTATACCAAGATGTCGTCAATAAACAAATGAAGAATGAGTCAAGCTAGGGCTGGAATACATTGTTCATCAAGTGCATGAATGTTACCGGGGTGTTGGTCAGCCCAAATGACATTACAAGGAACTCGTAATGACCATACCTAGTCCTGAAGGCAGTCTTCGGAATATCCAACTCCCGAATCTTCAACTGATTATAGCCTGACCGCAAATCAATCTTTGAGAATACTTTGGCAGCTTGTAGCTGATCAAATAGGTCATCAATGCGTGACAATGGATACCTGTTCTTCACTGTAACCTTGTTCAACTGTTGATAATCAATACACATGCGCATAGAACCATCCTTCTTCTTTACAAACAAGAGCGGAGCACCCCAAGGTGACACACAGGGCCGAATGAAGCCTTATCAAGCAGCTCTTACGACTGCACCTTTAACTCCTTTAGCTCCACTGGGCCATACGATATGGTGGAAATAGAAATGGGCTGAGTGCCTAGCAATAAATCAATACCAAAATCGACATCCCTATTAGGCGACATGCTCGGAAGAATAGCCGAAAATACATATGGATAATCCCTCACTATCGGAACTGACTCAACGGTAGGAGTATCAACATTGACATCTCACAAAAAGGCTAGATATGCCTCACGCCCCTTCCCAACCATCCGCTGTGCAAAGACACCACCCTGCTAGGAACATAATCCAAAGTACCCCTCCGTTCCAACCGCGGCAAGCTTGGCATAGCCAACATCACTGTCTTGGCGTGATAATCAAGAATAGCATGATAGGGCGACAACTAGTCCATGCCCAAAATAACATCAAAATCTACCATATTGAGCAACAATAGGTCAGCTCTACTCTCAAAATCACCAAGAACGACTAAACACGACTGATACACATTGTCAACAATAATAGAATCTCTACTGGAGTAGACACATAGACATGAGAACTCAAGAAATCACAGGATATACCCAAATATAGAGCAAAGTAAGATGATACAAATCTACCATATTGAGCAACAATAGGTCAGCTCTAATCTCAAAACCACCAAGAAAAACTAAACACAACCAATACACATTGTCAACAATAATAGAATCTCCATTGGAGTGGACACATAGACATGAGAACTCAAGAAATCATAGGATATACCCAAATATAGAGCAAAGTAAGATGATACACAGGAATAAGTGGAGTCTGGATCAAATAAGACTGATGCATGTCTAAGACAAACTGGAATAATACCTGTGATAACTAAGTCGGATGCAACTGCGTCCGTTCTAGAAGGAAGAGCATAACATCTGGCCTGGCCTCCCCCTCTAGGGCGACCCCTACCTTCCCGACCTCCACCTCTAGCTGGCTGTGTAGGTGGAGTGGCAACTAGTGCGGTAACCACGACCTGGGAAGTATAGGGCCGTGTGGAATACGTGGAGCCTGAGTAGTCTGCGGAGGTGCACCTCTCCTGAGTCTGGGGTAGTAACTCACCAAATGACGACTGTCACCATACTCAAAACAAGCTCTCGGAGGACGGGGCTACTAAGACTAGCTCGGTCCTAGTCGTCTGGGCTAGCCGCTAAAAGCACCCCGTGCAAGAGGTGCATTAGACAGTGGCGGTGCATAATGGGCAACCTGAGGCCTGGGAGTAGCCGGAATACCACTGGAAGCTGGAAGTGCTGAATGAAAAAGACGGCTCACATAGCCTCTACCATGACGGGCTGTAACTGGAGTACGGGCACCACTATATATGCCAGAATCTCGAGGCCTCTTAGCCTCCCTATCCTCTCTCTCCTGGCCCCACATACCCTCCAACCTCTGAGCGATCACCACAACCTGCTAGTGTGGGGTATAAGTCTCCAACTCTCGAGCCATATTGAATCTAGTACTGTGGTTGAGCCCCTCGATAAATCGACGGACTCGCTCTCTGATAGTGGAAACTAATGTTGGTGCATGTCTGGACAAATCGTTAAACCTGACTGCATACTCTGATACGATCATAGTACTCTGGCAAAACTGCTCAAACTTTGCGCGCCATACATCCCTAAGACTCTAGGGAACAAAATCTCTCATGAACATCTCTGAGAACTGAGCTCAGGTGAGTGAAGCTGCCTCGGCCGGTCTACCCAACTCATATGCTCGCCACCACTGATAAGTCGCTCCCTTAAGCTGGAACGTATTGAAACAAACCCCACTCGACTCCATAACTCCCATAGTATGGAGGATACGTGGCACTCCTCAAGAAAACCTTGTGCATCCTCTGAAGCAAAGCCGCTAAAAGTAGGAGGGTGGTACTTCTTGTACCTCTCAAGCCTGATCTGCTCCTCCTCAGATATTGCTGCCCTAGCCTCGGACTGAACTGGAACAACCGGCTATACTGGTATGACCTTTAGGACCTGGTCAACCTAGACTCGCTGCTATGGGGTACGGGCTACGACAGTCTGTGCTCCTCCCCCGGCCTAAGATATGGCAGGAGCAAGTGGAATCAACCTTGCCTGAGCTAGAGTGCAAAACATGCTCAAAAATTGGGCGAGGGTCTCCTGAAGTGCAAGGGTAGTAACAGGCGTTTAAGGTGCTTGCCCTTCAACT